ACATTACATGGCGGGATATCACTTACACTGGCAGTGACAAGGCAAACGTTTTGGATTCTTAATGGGAAACAGGCAGTTAAAAAGATTCTGCACAAATGTGTTGACTGCTTCAAGCACAGACCGAAGGCAGTCACGCAGCTCATGGGAGACCTTCCCTTACATCGAGTGAACCCACCAAAGCGAGCCTTTGAAGCCACAGGCGTGGACTATACCGGTGCGCTAGAAATCAAAGCGTCAAAGTTTCGTGGACACCACAAATACAAGGCATATATTGCAGTTTTTATATGCTTGGCGACAAAGGCAGTCCACTTGGAAGCTGTTACCGGATTGTCTTCTCAGGATTTTTTGTGGGCTCTACAACGTTTTATTGGCAGACGTGGATACTGCCAACACATCTACAGCGATTGCGGTACCAATTTCATTGGAGCAGATAAATCCCTAAACCTTTGGCATGAAGAGTTTCGACAAAGCGTTATCGCAACGGTTATTCCAAAATTAACCGCTCAGCAGATTCAATGGCATTTCAATCCGCCACACAGCCCAAACTTCGGTGGATTATGGGAGGCGAATGTTAAAGCGGTTAAGACACACTTACATCGCACGTGTAAAGGGGCGCTCATGACCTACGAACAACTCTCAACTATTTTGGTTCAAATCGAAGCCTGTTTGAACTCTCGCCCACTTTGCCCGTTGAGCTCGGATATGGAGGATTTAGCAGTACTGACACCGGCCCATTTCTTAATTGGCGATTCCATGATGGCGCTACCTAATCCATCAGCTTCGGATAAATCGTTAAACGCACAATTCTTGGAAGGACAAAGACTGCTTCGAACCTTTTGGCATCGTTGGAGCTCGGATTGGCTTTCACACTTACAATCTCGTCCAAAATGGCAGCGGGTTGAGGAAAACTTGCGTTTACACGACATAGTTATTATTAAAGATGATCGGCTTCCGCCAAATGAATGGAAGCTCGGTCGCATAGTCGAATTACATCCAGGATCTGATAATCTCATTCGAGTCGCATCTATTAAGACGGCATCCGGAATTTATAAACGCTCTTTGTCGAAAATCTGTCCATTGCCATTAGCTACTTATTCAGAGGCTACGGAATAAACATTAATTACGTACATACTTTGTCCACCTCTACATATCGTAATGACACTTATTTCTTTACAGCAAAGTGCAGAAATTTGGTTTAAATACTGGACTCAGTATTTGGGGGCGGCATGTTCGGACGTTTGCTGTAGTTGAGAGAACATAAACCCACCACTCTGTTATAACCGAGTTTTATGTAAAGGGAGTCACAAGAGAGAGAACGATCGACGATTCTTTTATGGGCATCGAACAGAAGCAGTCATCCCAGCCGCTGGTCGCGTTTAATAATCTAATATAATAAATTAAAATTGATACCATTGTCAGCATTGAAGATTGTAAAGTGAAAAAACTGAATTCGAAGTAATTGTAGATAATAAATAGACCATCCATGAAGTGCACCTTTTAGAGTTATAATTTTCAAATTGGTGGAAAAACCCCAGAGCATCTTTGCTCATCTTTGACAATATAAATTGTCACAACACGTTAATAAATTATTTAAGGGCATTGCACTTGGAATTTATTGTCGTATCCACTTGTTAACAATTGGCTTGGTGGTTTTCTTTTACTTTAACTAAATATAGTTTTCGTTCGAAAGATCAGTACGCAGATCAGCACTGTCGGCGATCAAGGAAATTCGTTAATTGACTAGGCTATCACTGGGACGAGCTACAGCTCCTCCTTGCCATCAAAGTCGTACTCCTCCTGGACGGGCGACTCGTCGCAGTACCTGGCCTGCTCCGAGCAGATCTTGATGTCGAGATCGTCGCCAAGCTCGTCGGCCTGGAAGGCTTTCACGAAGATCTCGTCGTTGTCCTCCAGCACTTCGTTGCAGAAGTGTCCCAGGCTCTTGTTGAGATCGCCGTCCTGCACAAAGTCCACCAAGGAGGAGTCGGGGTTCATCTGGCCGTTGATGATCATCTTCAGAAGTGTGAATTTACCATTGCTCTTGTAGGTCGCCTTCAGGTAGTCGTCCATTTTCTCACCTTTAAGAATGAGGAAGTGTTACTCGCGACAGGGGATAAAGAGTTCTAAAAAAATCGTAATCTTCATAGATTGTCTTCATTCTTGTTGTATTTATCAGTACCTTAGACTACTTAAAATAAAGTGGTTCAGGGGTACTATTATCTGTAATTTAATTTCCTTCTGCTTGGGTTTTCCCCCTCTCTGATATTTAAAACGAACTCCAGATATACTCACAGATACCCTCCATCAGCTCGGTGAGGAACATCTCAGATTTGATGAGGCGAACCTTCTTGCTGATCGAATTTCCTTGGGCATCCAGGCGGAAGCCACTGACGTCGGCCATCTTGTGGGTATCCTCCTTGGCGATGGCCTCCTCCAGTTCCGTCACCACGGCCTTGCACACTGCAATTAATAGAATTCCAATTAGCTGGAGTCCAGGGTCAACAAGTGCACAGCCGCCTGTTGCTGATTTATATGTGCTGCTTGCTCACCGTGACACTTGACCTCGCGGGAGGTGAAGCTGTATCCTTGGGCCAGGGCCAGCAGGCCGAACAGGACTATCGCCTTCGCCAGCATATTTTCAATTAATTGTTTAAATATTTAAAGTGTGGAAACTAATTGCCGTCACCACGTCAGCACAAGCGCGTTCGGTTTGAAAGTGCGGCGTTGATAAAGTCGTGTGCCTATATTTACGACGACTTAAGGCGACGTGTTCCTTAAAGCTCTTTGGCGATAACTGAGGAATGCTACTTAGGTTCGGCGGTAGGTTCGGGTCAGTTGTCACAATAATTCTAGTAATATAATATGCTAGAATATAAATATATAGAATAATATGCTAATATCGATAGGTTTTGTCGTACAATAGTCACAAGCAGTGCAGTTCTGAAATATTTTTAGGGTTACCATCTCCTGACATTGTTCGTTGAGAGGGTTTGAAAATTTTAAAATAATTGTTTTAAGTTTTTCAACTTAAAGATCCCAGGAAATGTCATTCACTATTCTGTAGATTAATATTATTTTTATCGTATAGGTAGTGAAATTTTAAACCAGAAAATATCGATAAGTAAAGGGCGCGCGGAGTTTAAATTTTCTTCTGTCTCAGCATCACACCAAGAAGAACGTGGACGATGATAATTTTCGGGAGAACTGCACTATATATATTATGTACCTCTCTGGTTTTCTCTGGCATTTTAAGATTATATAGTGAGCTGATAACTGAAGAGTCAGTCCAAATGGGGAATTGCCCGCGAGTGGATGCTCTGTTCGACTTGCCATGTAAAGGCGAAGGCAATAGATTCGCGTAAATAGCCGGCAATTCGTTCGTAAATTAAAAGAAACCCACAAGTCGGTCGGTTTCAGCGATAATTTCTACATACTCTTATTAACCATTGTAATTGGCGTTAATTAAGCGTCGTGTATCCCGCTCTACGCTCGTGTTTCTCTTGCTTTTTCCCTCGTTTGTTTGCAATGTCGATCATTTCTAACGACTGTTTGTTCGGTTAATTGATAAGAACGAATTGTAGTCGCACTTTGCCATATTTATAGAGCAAAAACGTAGAAAAACGGAAATGCAGCGGAAATCGTTGCTATATTGGGTTCAATTTTTTTAGCCTGGTAAATGGAAAGTGGTGATAAGAGATTATTTATTTAGTTGCCGTGAGTCAAATTCAATGCGATTGCACAGAGATTGTGTACATTGTACATGAACATTGTATATATGTCAATTTAGCTAAGACTTTAATTGATTTATTCAAGAAAAATCAATGTACCCTTTTACTCTACGGGTATAAACATTACAAGCTGTGAATGAAATTTTGTGTATTTTGGGCGAACTAGGTTTATAAATTATATATTAACTCGACTATAGACCCACGCTTTTGCTTATTATATTGGACTTCAAATCGAAATCAATGAAAACAGCGGCACGTCCCCTTTAAGCAGATACCTTTTCAGCGCTGATACCTTTTCAGGTTGCGGAGCAACTAAGGGTATTGCAGTTGCCCCGCCTCTGGCGGTTAGGATCCTGGATAGGGTTTCCTTGCAGATCCTGCTGCAGTGGCTGATTATCGGGATCCTCCGAAATAGTTTGAGTCTGCAATATGCAAATCGCTGCGAAAATTAGAGTCAGGATAATCGTGATCTACATTGTGGGATGTTTAATGGAGAACTCTTCTACCAGTTTAAGCTTTCAATTTGCTTTATAAAAAAATGAACCGCTACCGGCTTATGATAATCTCTGTATTTGTCGTAAGAGTTAGAAAACAGCATTGTTTATTTGAAAAAATGCGGAATAGTGCATAACTAGACACTGACAAATTAGTCGATACATGATATTGTAAGTTGAATATGAAAGCTCTAAAGTAATAAAATCTATCCAATCTATCTTATGTAACTCCGAACAAAGACCGCCTTTCTAGGCATGTTTTAATTTGATTGGTTATAACAGTCTTTTATTTATTTATAAAAAGCTAACTTAAGGTTAAAACTAAATTAAAAGTTCTAGCAGCTTAGGCCTTCAGTTCGTCTGAGGTGTGGAATTAATTAATTAGTAAAAGGGTATATTGTATTCGTGCAAAAGTTTGTAACAGGTAGAAGGTAGCGTTTCCGACCCTATAAAGTATATATATTCTTCAATAGTCAATAGTCTGAATAGCCATGTCCATGGCCATGGATCACTCACACAAATTGCGTTCTCTCTTGTTTTTTTAGTTTTAAACTTAATTTGGGCTTTTTCAAGGAACAGTCATGTGCCCCAGCTCAAAGATATTTTTTTTACAAATGCTTGGAAGGCAGTGGAGGATTCGGGATTTGGTTGTGGGAGGGGTTTCCAAACAAATATTTTGTTGCACTCTTTTTGAATAACCAAATTCCTTTCATTTTTGACCCGAGTGGGAGGACTTAGTGGACTTATTTCCCATATTCCCCCGTGAATCCGCGCATGGTTTAAGGTTTATTTTTATTGAAAACTTTTATTTATGTTCAAGTTCAATTTTTGCTTAGTCAAATCGGTTTTGTTTACATTTTCTAAAACATTTAAAAATTTTAATAACCTAATGTTTATATCTTTAGAGTGTAAGGGATATTAGATATATTGATCCAAACTAAATCAATTACGGCACACGCAGACGGCCTTGTCGCTGCAGTAGCCTCCTTTGAATCGCTTGGCAATACAGTGGGCGGCACAGGCGGTGTGGTTCCAGTTCCACTTCGACAGAAGATCGCAGGTGGCCCGCTTCTGGCGACTGTGCTGCATCTCCTCGTGGACATCCTGATTAACCAGAGGATGATCCGCTGGATTCTGGTCCTCTTCAGGAACGGGCTGAGCCTGCACCGAACAAGCCACCAAAGCCAAAGAGATAGCCAAAAATACGACGAACTTCATGGTGGAATATCAGTGGAGATACTGTTGTTTTACTGAGTTTATATAGCAATCTGCCAGCAAGATCGATTGGGACAGGGACTCCCAACCGGTGACTTTTTTCCATTGTCTCTTTTGCTATGCAGGAACACACGTCTCGGGGGTTTTACATTTTTTCAGATCACTGAGAATGGGAGAAGACCTTGTCTGGAGTACTTTTTCATTTGTTTGCCTTGAGAATATTGTCAATTTTTAATAGATAAGAGGGAAATATTATAAACAAAGCCAATAATCCACTAAGTCAAATTATAAGTGATTTTAAGGCCCTTAAATTTAAGGGAGTAGCATAACGAATGTCAAGTTTATGACAGAAAGCTATGGTTTCAATAGAAAATTTATTTATGTCCCTATTCTATTTCAACATTTTTATACCCTTGCAGAGGGTATTATCATTTCAGTCAGAAGTTTGCAACGCAGTGAAGGAGACGTTTCCGACCCCATAAAGTATATATATTCTTGATCAGCATCACAAGACGAGTCGATCTAGCCATGTCCGTCTGTCCGTCCGTCTGTCCGTCTGTCCGTCTGTCTGTTTCTACGCAAACTAGTCTCTCAGTTTTTGAGCTATCGGGACAAAACTTTCGCAAAAGTCTTCTTTCTATTGCAGGTAGTATATATGTCGGAGCCGACCGGATCGGACAACTATATCTTATAGCTCCCATAGGAACAATCGGAAAAAAAAACAAGAAAGGAAGCTACCTTCGGCCAGCCGAAGCTTATATACCCTTGTAGATAAAAGAATACTCACTCGGTGCAGTTCCAGGGATTCCAGATTCAGCGTTTCGATTTATTTCAATTTTGTTTTTAAGTAGTCAAGAATCAAAACGCCTACTTCCTACAAAGTTACAATGAATTTTCTTATATTTGTTTGGGAGCCTTAAGATATAGTGGTCCGATCCGGCTGGTTCCGACATATGTACTACCTGCAATAGAAAGAAGACCTTCGGGAAAGTTTCATCGCGATAGCTTTAAAACTGAGAGACTAGTTCGCATAGAAACGGACAGACGGACAGACGGACAGACGGACAGACGGACATGGCTAGATAGACTCGGCTATTGGTGCTGATCAAGAATATATATACTTTATGTGGTCGGAAACGTCTCCTTCACTGCGTTGCAAACATCTGACTGAAATTATAATACCCTCTACAAGGGTATAAAAAACTTCAAAAAATTCTAGCTTCGGTGTTTTTTGAAATATTACCTTCTACTTTTGGGGATGTTATTTTTTAAATATTTCTGAATTTCGAATTAATTATTTAAAAAATCGGACTACTATATCATATAGCTGCCATAGGAACGATCGGAAAATTAATGGAAAAGTAATAGGAAATAAATTCTAGCTTCTTTGGTTTTTATTGTATTATTTTCTACTCTAGGATATGACTCTTTTTAAATATTTCCGAATTTCAATTTTAATTTAATCAAAATCGGACGACTATATCATATAGCTGCCATAGGAACGATCGGAAAAATAATGGGAAATATTAGAAAATTGAACATTTTTGCGATTTGTTAATTAATAGGAATGATCTGCATTATATAAACTTCGGCTGGCCGATGCTAGCTTACTTTCTTGTTTTTATTAAAATAATTTGTATAGGGGAGATGTCTATAGCGTTCTCTCTTGTTTTTTTTTGTAGTCCTTTTTAGTGACAAAACTTTTGGGGAAAACATTATAAGCCAGGCTCTAGCCAGATTTAAGCTGTGAGAGTCGTGTACCATTTTGCACCAAAAAAGTTTTTGTCTACTTTTTTCAAAATTCCATTTAAAATTAATAACGTCCTTAAATTAACTTGGTAAGAGATTTAAAACATTAGTATATTAACTGTTAACTAATTAAAAAAAGAATCAGCTTAATGTGACAGTCAGAACAAAAGTTATTAATTTTTTTCCGAAACATCCCATTTTGTGTAAGTTGGGACACTTTGAGCGTGTAAGTTGAGACACCCGTTTTTCATACAAAAAGGCCTTAGGCCAACAGAGGTCGCTTTCCGCCTAGTACATTTCTTTGATATTAGGGGAAAAGTGAATGTACAAAGAGCCTTTTGATTTTAATTGTTATTGGGTCTAAGTTCTTAAAAAATGGATGGGAAATAATTTAGGACGAACTACACAGAGAAAATTATCAAAAGTTTTAGGTGCAAATAAAATAAACATATCATACAAATTTATTTTACTTTGCATTTTTAAAACGTTTTCATTTTTATTTTTAAAACGTTTTTATATGAAAACGGCAACCAAAACGTTGCATAATTTTCTCTGTGTAAAATTGATTAAATTAACATAAATAAATAGTTCCTTATAGTTTGGAGTACTTTTTGTGTGAGTATTATTGACTTTTAAAAGTGTCCCAACTTACAGACCTCTTTTTCAAAATGTCGTTTTTTTGACACTTTACAAAAAAAATAATTTTTCAGTTTTCTCTAAGGAAAAAAAATATTTTTTTTTGTTTTTTATTAAGCTAATAGACTAACCTTTCGATCAGTACCAAATACGTAAAGTTTCATAAGTGAATGTCGAAATGGCAGATTAAAAACAAAAGGTGTACCAACCTACAGACTCCTCCCCTACTTATTACTCGTAGAGTATTAGGGAAAAAGTATGTAACATTTAGATGAAATCGTTTTTGACCCAATAAAGTAGCCGAATCGATCTAGCCATTATCGTCTGTCTGTCTGTATTAACGCTGAGATCTCTGAGACTTTAAAAACAAATAAGAGAAGAAAAAGAAGAGCAACGTTTATAGCATAAGTTCAGCTATTGTGAGATAGGCGCCAAAATTTCGGAAAAACCAGATTTTATTGAAACCAAACGCTATGTTTTAATTTTTGTGTCTACATTTTTATATTTTCTGTTTTAAGCCATTTTAAAAACTACTTGTACCTTTCAATGTCTTTACCTAAAATAATGTTGAGGACGCGTACCTCAAACTGGAATCGGCTTACAATATATAGCGTTCATAAATCAATTTTTACACATAATCATTAAATCGCTATAGTATCCCAACGTGAGCTAAGCCAGAAGAACGCCGTATGTGGTTTTAAACGTTTTGATGAGTACCTTTAGGTTTTAAAAACAAAACTGCGCTTACATTTACAGTTGCACTGTGTATTAAAGGAGATTTCACTTGCTCGATATAATGGATGTCCAAAAATGTTCAACCTATGGTAATCCTTTTGCTTTTAGGATATGCAAAAACAATAAAACAATTAAACATTTTGAAGTAATTCTTTGATTTATTATCTTTATAATTGATATGTGCTGTGTTGTGTTCGATTATATACATAAGAATTGGGATATTATATTTGCCTTCAAATCATAATCAGTGGCAACGACAATGTCCCTTTACGCAGATACCCTTTAATCCTCGTTTTCTTGAACAGAAGGCAGCACAATTGCCGATATCGCAGTTGGCTCGCTTCTGGCGGCTGTGCTGTTCCACATTCTGGAGAAGATTTTCCAGAAGATTCTGCTGCAGTTGATGAACTTTGGTATCCTCCGAAATGCTTTGAGCCTGCAATACGCAGATCGCAGCGAAAGTTAAAGCCAGAATAATTGTGATCTTCATACTGAGATGACAAATAGGAAACTGTTATACCTGGTCAGCTTTCAATTGTCTTTTATAGTAAAGTGAATAGCTACCGGTTTATGATAACCTGTGTTTTTGTTATAAGATCTGAAAAATATGCGGAATAGAATCTATACGAAAGCTTTTTCCGATTAATGCATAACTAGACATTAACGGATATAGTCGTTAGATGACATTCTAAGTTGTAAACGATAGACTCTATCCAAGCAAAAACACTTTATATAACTCCGAACAAATTACGTCTATCTAGGCTTTTGAGCCTAGTATTAAGGAAGATTCTAATGGTTTTCTATTTTGACTCGTGGTTCTAACAGTCTTTTACAGTATTTGTTATCCACTCTCTTGTTGTACCTTAGCTCAAAGATATATGTTTTACAAATTCTATAGTAGACAGTTTATTAGTCTAAGATTTAATAAATTTGACTATCTGTAATAATGGTCAATGAATAGCACTTTAAAGTTCAACCGTTTTTTTTTATTTTTAATTTAGTGAAATTAAGAAATAAGTACAATTTGTAATAATTTAATGTTCCCATCTTTATACATTTAAGGATGTGAATGCTTTGCCTGTTAGCTGTCTGCATCCAAACTAAATCAATTACGGCACACGCAGACGGCCTTGTCGCTGCAGTAGCCTCCTTTGAATCGCTTGGCAATACAGTGGGCGGCACAGGCGGTGTGGTTCCAGTTCCACTTCGACAGAAGATCGCAGGTGGCCCGCTTCTGGCGACTGTGCTGGACCTCCTCGTGAACATCCTGATAAACCAGAGGACGATCCGCTGGATTTTGGTCCTCTTCAGGAACGGGCTGAGCCTGCACCAAACAAGCCACCAAGGCCAAGCAGATAGCCAAGAATACGACGAACTTCATGATGGAATATCAGTGGAGATACTGTTGTGGCAGATCGTGGTTTTACTGAGTTTATATAGCAATCTGCCAGCCGCATCGATTGGACTAGGGACTCCCAGACGGTGACTTTTTTCCATTGTCTCTTTTGCTATGCAGGAACACGTCTCGGGGGTTTTACAATTTTTTCAGATCACTGAGAATGGGAGAAACCTTTGCCTGGATTATTACTTCATTTGTTTGCCTCGAGAATATTGGCAATTTTTCATAGATAAGAGGAAAATATTATAGGCAAAGCTAATTTTGATAGGTTTAGGGGCCTTAAACTTAGGCAGTAGTAGATTTGACTCTACGAAAATGCATATAAGTCCAAAAGTAATGCTAATATATTTCCTCTCTTGCTCTATAGTACAAAAGCCTTAAAAACTAATAAATAAAGCAAAGAGACTTCCGATATTTATTTTTTTATTCCCGAGGAGTTTGAATTCGCTGATCTAGCGGAATTCGAAATCGACTCGATCTCTAGTTAACTGTTTAATTGTGTTCAAAGGGCTGCCCACATAGATATATGCACTGAGATACTCGGATACGCAGATACATAAACACAGGCGACAATAAATAATTTCTACCGAAAAGTCTTTTCATAAAGCCAGGCAAATAAACAAACAAGAATCACACAATGATTAGTTGGGCACTCAGCGGCGGGGCGGGTGTACTAGTATCTGAATCCGTATCTGCGCGTACGTGTATCTATATCTGTATCTGCATCTGGTTCTGAACCCAGTTGAGCTGAGCCGACAATCCCGATCGAATCCCACGACCGAGGCTTTTTCAGTTGCTCTGTTCCTTGGTTGGCCGTTGGCCGTTGCCTGTTTACCTTTGTTATCGACCAGGTTGTCTTGTCTTGCATTTTGGCGTCATACTGTCTGCCAGTCCACTCCACTTGAGTTTTTACCCCGCCCCTTTTAACCGTCTAGAGTCTTCTTCGTTTACCCGTCCTTACACATGCAGAAAATATCACCGAAATTTGTTGTATAATTGAGTGTCAAGCAAGAACTTTCCATTTCTAGTATTTAACCGCGACATGTTTCGAAAGGAAAGGTACTACATGCTATCAAATTTTGTTTAGCATTTTCATATCCGTTACTCGTAGAAAAAACGGGTATATTTCGTTCAAAAGTCCGTCTCTGTATATATGAACGCTAAGATATCGGAAACTATATAAGCTAGCGGATTGGCCTTAAGCAAGCAGATTTTAGGGGTTCCTGTGGCGCCCAAAGTTTTGTATATAACAGTATCATTTCCGCCGTCACCGGCGCAAGACTGCTGCCAGCTCTAAATGAATGCAAAATTCAAATGTATTATTTTAGATGATCACTCTAAATGGGGCGCGCAAAAAACATACATTAAATTAAAGTTGATAAGCTGAGTAACGGGTATTTAACAGTCGAGGCTCCCGACTATAGCGTTCTCTCTTGTTATCTTCTTGGTCCATACCTAAATAACATTTCATCCGGCTCTTAGGATATAGCCAAATTTTAGTTGAAAATGTTAGATCGCTACCATATCCAACCACAGATGGGGTTTAACTACATAGTTCCGATTAGTTCTTTTAGATTGTGAAATCCAAACTCCAAAACCGTAGAAATGTAGCGCAATAGTATTTACCTAATAGAATTTTATTCTCTTCAGTTTCATATATTTTTTTAAGTGCATGTACGATCGTCGAAGAAGACCACAAAACGGAGTGTGGCACAGCCGAAAACAAAGCGGAGGCAGGGGCGGCGGTACGTGGGGTGGGGTATAAAATGGGGGAACGGAGGGGGCAGTTATCGTTGCCTTGCCGTCAGACTGTCTGGCAGGTTTCACACCGAAACGGAGACGGAGACCGGCAACTGCACTCCTCCTCGCCCCCCTCCTCGAAATCCTCACCAGCCGGACTCCTTAGCCAGCGGCTCTATAAATCACAGGAGCGGGGCCCTCGACGGCTCACGTTTTCCCCTGCCCCCCTCCTCCGACGCCCCTGCCCCTCCCCCGCTGGCTGAGCAGCTGGTGCAACTGTTGGCCGCTTTGTTTTAGATGTTTTTTGTTGCTCTTGTTGGTAAGGCAACCTCTTGAGATGCACAAAGGAAGATAAATTTCACACGCACACACAAGTGCTCTCTCTCTTTCTGGCGGTGTGTGAATGTGATCATTTTTATGCTGATACAGTATAACTTCTCTAAGTAACTCTGATCAATATATGATTCGATTTTCCCCTAATCAGGATAAATTATTATTTACAAGACTCTTCAGCTTTACTGTTAGGTATACCTATGTAACTTTGGTTTCTCTCGATCAAAATACAACTTGGTATTGAGTCAAAATCTGCCAAGTGGGCCACCCCTGTTCCGAAGGTCCGATTTTCATCGAACTTTTTTACTTTTCCGGTTCACAGCGAAATTTTGAGTTTTACCGGAGTTATAGGGGTCAAAACATGGCATTTTTGACACTTTTTCGAAAAAGTTGCACTCAGTCATTAATTCATAACTTCGGAACGGTAAGAGATATCTTTATGATGTTTTCACTAATCGCTCAAGAATTATTATGGCTTTCCATAAAAAAAGATAAAAAAAATTAAAATTTTTTTTTTTTTAAATAAATCAACATTTTTTGTTAGTTTTTATTTTTTTCAGTGTTCTTCACCAGCTATAGAGTTTAAAACCATTTGAAAATAAAGTTTGATTCATTACGAAAAAGATCAAAAAAAGAAAAAGAGTGGCCCGGCCAAAGGTTTTTCGCAATATCGAATCGAAGAAGGGCGCACAGCGGATTCCCATACAAAACGACAAGAAGTGCCTCATTGACATCTTCAGTCGGCTGACGCTACGCGCGCAACGGCATGTGTTGACCAGCCAATTTTCACGAGCAAGCCGTTTTTGTATGGAAAACCGCTGTGCGCCCTTCTTCAAATCGATATTGCGAAAAACCTTTGGCCGGGCCACTTTTTTTTTTGGATCTTTTTCGTAATGAATCAAACTTCATTTTCAAATGGTTTTAAACTCTATAGCTGGTGAAGAACACTGAAAAAAATAAAAACTAACAAAAAATGTTGATTTATTTTTAAGAAAAATAAATTTTAATTTTTTTTACATTTTTTTATGGAAAGCCATAATAATTCTTGAGCGATTAGTGAAAACATCATAAAGATATCTCTTACCGTTCCGAAGTTATGAATTAATGACTGAGTGCAACTTTTTCGAAAAAGTGTCAAAAATGCCATGTTTTGACCCCTATAACTCCGGTAAAACTCAAAATTTCGCAAAACCGTTCAAATGAAGTTCTTATATTTTCGTTGTGAACCGGAAAAGTAAAAAAGTTCGATGAAAATCGGACCTTCGGAACAGGGGTGGCCCACTTGGCAGATTTTGACTCTATTACTTTTTAAGCTACAAAGAAAACTTTACGGTAATCACTAAAAATATTATAATTACTTAATACTTATTTTTCTGAGTTTTATGTCTAAAACAAGATCTAAAAGTAGTCAGAAATTAACAAATTTATCTAGCTCAGCAGTTTAGTGGTTCATCTGGGAGACGTTCCACTGTGTCGGCCGTCCAGTCTCCAAGAGTCGGAGTGGCAAAGATAAGATATTGGAAGCGACACGCCAGACACTCTGGCGGCGACGGGATCCCGCTCTCTCCGCCGATCTCTCTGCTCGATTCCGATTCTTCGCCCACTACCTCTCCGGGGCTCTCTCTTGGGTTTTGGGCCACTCCACTCCAAGGCAAATGGCCAGTCGTGTGTGGGACTCGGCTACGAACGGTTGCTTTTGCTCAGTGTTCCTCGTTCCTCGCTCACAGCTCCTCGCTTCCTCTTGATCGTTTTCGGGCGGTTTTCCAATCGAAACGAACCAAAAATCGCACACATAAAGACCATTATATAAACAGAAGATCTACAACACCTTAATGCATACGCACACACCTCTCTCACTATAAATAGCCCACGGAAATCGGTAAATAAATAAATCGGAGAGCGGCAGAGTAAAAGTTCTAGGAAGAAAATCTAATTGCGACTTTGCGAAAAAGATGGTGAAATAAACGAAAAACGTTGACTATAATGAGAAAAACGCACTTGATGTAATAATAATAAGCACGCGTACTTAAAAAATCCGTTACCACAAGAACAGTTAGTTGTCGAATTCGAACTGCAAGTGAAATGTTGGCGAGATGTGTTTTGTTCGTCACCTGGCTGGCGGTTTCTATTGCTGGAAAAAATGATGATCAGTTGGTAAGTTATTTTAAAAAGTATTCTAAATGCAATTATCATGGTTGTAAATAAACTGTTAATTCAGTAATTAACGACATAAATGTGAAGTATGAAAAGATACACAAAACCGATTGTACCAAACATTTGATAACATTATTCCAAACCAAAGAGGGCGTATTTAGCCACTGCACTTAAGTACTTAGCCAGAATGTACGACTAAATAATGTATACAAAAAAACAGATATATTCCTTTACTCAAGTAGCGAATTTTAAGCTCAGCTTTTATTCCTCGACCCTACCAAACTTTCTGCCAAGACATACATACATATAAATAAATGATCTCTTCGTAAATCCTAAGAAAACACTTGAATATTTCAGGTATCAAAGGTACCAAAAGTCAGACAAAGAAGAAGCTGCGGACGATCTTCTTCTCCTTTTCTTTCTCCAGCTTGTCCGCCGCCGCGCTGTCTGCCAAACTCCGAAAAGAGAGTCTGCCGGTTCCTCTGCTCCTTCTCCCCTGGTCTTCTCTTCTACTGTCTTCAATCCCACACCTTGATTTTTGTTTTTGTTTCATCTGACCGACGGACGAACGTGTTTCTTGTTCCTGCAGAAAAGAAGAAGAATAATAAGAGGAGGTGCAAAAAGGAGAACACAAAATGGTCACAAGTCAAAAACGATTTATTTTCCCTGCCTTTGGGATCCCCTTTTCCTATACCCTATAAAAAGGGCTATTATAATTTTATGCTCAAAATTTAAAGTAAATAAAATTTAAGCTAAAGAATT